ATTATTGTTCATTAGGGAGATATATAACGTAATTTCTTCAATTGGAATTGCTTTTCTTAGTTTTGACTTATTATAATTTGCAAATATTATAATATTTAATTTACCCACTGTGATGTGTAGCTTGATTAGAAAAAATTTAATCGTAAACGAAATTCTGAGTAAGTAATATGGAATCCAGTAGTTTATTTAACTGTGCTATCAGATGAACTTTTTTTTATTAAAACGAGAGTATAAAAAGAGCATAAAATTGAATCTTGATTGAAATTATTTCAAAGTGAAACAAAACCCCTGTGATGTGTCGCATAATGAAAATTATTATAGAATAATTGAATAAACACCCTATTTTAAACATTTTCAATACCTAAGATTGCTCAGAAAAAATCCAGTAAGAGTTTATACTTCTGTGCGTCTAATGGTTTTACTTTAGGCCGGTATACTTCAAGAATATCAGGAGAATTATAAAAATGAACTCAATGCCAACTTGGAGATTGAATTTGAATGTGATGATTTAAAGTCAAAAAAAAATGAAAACAAAAACTGCGGAGAGTGAACGAAGACATGAATTTTGATGGGAATTCGCTGCACAAAATGAAAAAGGAACTGTTAGGATAGTTATTTACACTAAAAAATTTTCTGAAAGTTCACATCGATTCGAAGAATAATGGAATATATAATATTACACATACACGTGATATATAAGGAAAAGCGTTTATACAAATAAGTCATCTTCAAACTCACATTAATATGGTGCTTAATGATGTCCTATATACATGCAATACACGTTGGAAAACATTTACAAGACAGAATTATTTCCAAATTTATATTCATTTGATGGCAATTTTGTGAAAAGACTTTTATACACAAAATTCATCTCAAAATACACATTAATACGCTGCACAATGATATCACAACTATCATGTAAAGTACGCGGAAAATTTTCTTGGAAGAGTATTCTTTAAAACCGCATCGATGTAGTATTGGTGTCAAACATACATGCGATGTATGTGGAAAAAAATTGAAGCATCAATCTGTTATCAGTAGGCATGTCAAATTATTGAATGATTGTATTACCCACACACGCGAGACTCGTGGAAAGTTTTTCGGACACATAAAGAGTCTCAAAGCCTACCACTTACAAGGAGACCACATAAGATGAGGGTCACTAAATGTCTTGAAATTTTTTTTGGGTCTATTGGCACATATTAATGAAGTTCTCTATCGTTAATTTAATCCAATTCTTTTCCTTCTTCTATTCTATGTTATTTTTGAGGTAATTTTTTATTATTTCTATGTATAATATACGTTCTGAAAAATATTGTGACATTATTTCCTCTAGACCTCGTTTGCTTAAAAGTTTTAAATAAATTAATTTTTGTTCACGATGAATTCATTAAAATATCCACTTCTGAATAATAAAAATATTGAAGGCATTTTGGGTAACCAAAAATTTAATTTGTGTTCCCTGAGCCCCATTATAATATTAGACTTATATTTCTTTCTACAATAAGGCTAAAATTATTCTTTGGACTGCTAGAAATAAAAAAATAACGACGATTCAAAATTACTACTATGTCAACCTGTTTATATAGTCTCAACGCCTGAATATTTGCACACAAAAAATCTACGCAGTGATATTATGGGATCTTTAAGATGCAATGAGAGTACTTATATAAATACAAGATCACCCTTCAGAGGCATTGATGCTGTACACTTCATCATCCGAGATCTTGAGTAGGCTTTGCTTTGGATCAAAGCGAACTATTTCTACTTGAAACTCCTCGCAGCACTTACTCCTGACCCTATCATTCCTCGATGCTCTATGCATATAATAGGACCATTTTGTCCGCTCAGATTCTCTTGAGATCTGAGCAGTAGAGAGACAAGTACCTGGTGCACATATCGTGGTGTGCTACTTTACAGAGCAATATCGTGCTCATGATAATGCGACCATATTTACACATCTAAAACGTTCGGCTATGATAATATAAATCAATTTATTTATAAAGTAAAAATTAATATATTTTGAATGTTTATAACATCATTTGTCTATAATATAATATAGTTTAAACGTATATAAATGAATGAACAATAAAAACGATTTCAAGTACTCATATTTTGCATTCCTTCATTTTAAGAGGAAAATATGGAAAAAAAAAATAAATAAATAAAAAAGTAGGTAAATTTAAAGTTTATTGGCCGGATGTGGTAGCTAAATAAACTGCATTTACAGGTTCGCATGTAAGCACGTGAATTTCAGTTAGAGGTGAACGCATAACTCTGCGATGCGATGCATGCAAATGCGCGGTTGCTCGTGAAATGTGGAAATCGAAGTTATCACTTGAGAGTCGTAGGCCAAGAATCGAGAGAGAAAGAGAGAGGAACAAGTCAAGCAATTCTACGTGAGTAGCTTAGCTGATTTTGCTCTATCATTCATCAGGTCATGCTAGGAATCAAACATGACTTCAATCGATGCTTAATCGCGATTCTCGTACGTCTATGTCCGTTATGGCCTGGACATGCTCGAAGCTGCGACAAAAAGCCGTACAATCATCTTGAACGTGCAATTTTGGAGTTTTCTCTTTGATTTACTGTACAGAGTTCGAAAATTCGTATTTAATAATCGTATAAGTATGCTAATGTAATCAGATGCAGTAATCATTGAAGTTTCGTTACATCTGGATTTGTATGCGGAGCACACACAATTTCAAAATTTTTTGTAATTCATGTCAAAAATATCTGTGGTTGAGGCTTAGAATTTTTTATTTAATCGTGCGCACGTATGTCACCGATCTTGACGCGCTTTAGGTACGTTATAGTGCACGGTAAAAATGCCCCAAAACCAAAATTTAGATTTTATTATCTTTCAAATGTCTTCAGAATTTCGCATTAATTTTTGTTATGTTCTAGACTTACGTTAGCTAGGAAGCCTCATTCAAAAAAAGTATTTTAAAATTTTTTTACTGGTACCACCGGGTTCCAGGAACTTTTTTTGTTAAAAATAGCGTTTTTCGGCTTTAGACGCTATCGCCTTCAATTAAAAAATCTGAAAAAATTTGAGATTATGTATTTTGATGAACAAAATAAGTGAAAAAAAATTTCAGGCTTTGTTTTGCAATGACTTTACCTGAAGGCCTGAAGCACTTAAAAAATCTGAAAAAATTCAGTGTTTAGGATTGTTGAAAAGTACCTTTAGAAATTTTTTCAGATTTTTTAATTACTTCAGGGCTTCGGAATAAATATAAATAGAAGGTAGACTTTTATAGCGGTGGTGGGGGGTAGGAGAGGGAAGAAGTTCTAAAATTTTGGTTTTCGGACCTTTTTGTCGTGTACCTAAAGCGCGTCAAGATCGGTGACTTTCGTGCGCACGATTATTTATAAAATTCTCAGCCTTATCCCTATAAATTTAAAAATCCTTGAATGATGTACACAAAGTAAGTCCGTGAAAATTGAAACTGTTCAATTTAATTTTTCATTTATTCTAAAATTAATAATAATCACTACATTATTTTCAAAAAACAATAAGTAAATATTTGTCTATAGAAATTGTTTAAATTTTTTCAAAAAGCTTAGTTTAAAAAAAAGCTCAGTATTAACTAACAATCTACACCATGCGTGAGTATATTTTATCCATTGGAACGTGGAATTCTATGGTGGAACATAAACTCCGGAACAAAATCATCGCAACAAACATTTTCATTAAAATTTTGTTTATTTCTGAAACTCATTCAATTTTGAACTTATGTGACGATTTTTTTTTGTTTTTGTGGGAAACTTTCTATATAATTCCAGGTAATATATTTTGAATAAGTACCACCTTTAATTACTGAAAAAATTGATCGTCTAAACGTGTAGTTTAGACACGCCACAACCTAAAGTAACGTTTTATACTCCCGCTGTGCGAAATCAAAATATTATTTTAGGCTGGAGGATTCACAAAAAAATTTATTTTCACTTATGTATAGTGCAAAAGAAAATCTCAGAGCACGTGATTATCAGTCTCGGCCGATAAATTTCACGTGCTCTGAGACTTTCCAGTTTTCCACTCTCCTACTCAAAGTAGTCAAAAAATGCTTCGACATGAGGTTTTTGATTTTCCTTTTTAGCTTAGTCTGCGAGATTTCCAGGGGTATATTTCATAATTTTGTTGTCTTAGTAGGAAGATATTTAAGTACAAATTTGCTTCAGAATCGTATTATGTATCGAACTCGGTCTCACTCGATTCTCTACATAACACGCGCATTGCTGCTGCTTACCCGCCATCTGTTCGGTGGCAGTGGCTGATGTTTATATTGTTCAGTGCTTGAAAACCAAGTAAGTTTATCAATTATTCAAAGCAGTGTTTGTTTGTTATTTTTTTACTGCATGATTCGTGCCCGGGACTTTGAAGTGAAAACATAAAGTTGTGAAGACCCAGTGGCGAGTCACTGTTTCACAGTGACGCAGTCTTTCGTGATGTGGTATTTTCATTTTTTTCAGTGTTGAATAAAATTGAAAAACAAACATCGTGTTACAGGTAGGGTTTCCCGCTTTCTCCTGGGTTCTAAATTAATGGAAATTAATTTTTTTTATGAGTATATTTAGATATCTACATTAGAAAATGTATACGTTTAACTTTGGGGAATAAGGGTTTTGGTTCTCTAATTTCCGCAAAAAATTCAATCAATGTCTTGATGTCGATCAGCATACTTGCAGTATTTTTTAATATCAAGGGTAATATAATTTTTCTAATTTTTTATTCGAATGAAAAATTTTAATCAAGTAGGATTTTCTATTTTCCAATTTATAAGCAAACGATCATTTGAAGTAAAAAACCTTAAATTGGCCATTCATTACTGATACCTTATCGAAAACAAAGTTATCTATTATACATATAGCAAATAATAATTATAAAACGTGAGAAGCTAAAATTCAACTAAAATTGAAACGCTATTACTGAAGCTATAGCAAGTTACATCGAAGTAAAAATTAATAGACAATTCAAAATTTTATTTTTATCATACCTCAGCTGGAAAAGCGTAGTTGTTGACACGATGTTCAGAGCCGTGATTATCATCTTGACCGTAGTGGATATAAATTTCTTCAAATTGATAGTGGTAGGCCAAAGGTCCTCCCGTTATATTTACTCTTACTTTCAAATCTTTATCAGCCCGAAATACCAGAAATTGTCCAGTGTTGTGCAAATAACCTGATACCTGTAAAAAAGTATAAAAGTTTATAAAAGTAATAAAACATTAACAGAGAAACTCGATTTCCGTAGGGCCAACATCTAAATCTCCGGGACATTTTTCAAGAGAAAGAAATTGATTGACTTCTTACGGTTTCTGCACTGGACACTTATGGACGTAAGTACAAGTATCAAGAAAACCGATTCATCGAAGCTGTGGTTAAGACCGGCTATAAAGACAACCCCGACGTTGATAAAAACGGCAAGCCACTGTTGCGTCACATCACTACATTATACGGATAGAGGTGCTGATTACATTTGCAGCATCATCATCCCAAAACATTTCAAAATATCCCACGTAAATTACACCGATGAATCCAACCTCACGCACTTTCACGCGGCCTATGAGCATGAATGTTACGATATTGTGGAGAAATTCCTCGAGCTCGAACCCTCCTCTAGAATCAGCTGACCATTCTACACACGGCTCTGAACTGGAAAAGCAAATACTTGGTCAAATTGCTGCTGAGAAATGGTTTGATCCGAATTAAGCTATCAACGATGGATTGACCCCTCTGCACATTATTTACAAGAGAGGCGCCGATGGTGGTTTGTTGGAGCTATTTTTCCATACCAACGATAAAAAGCATCAGCAACTGCAGGTCAATGTTCGGGACAATTTAGGCCGGACATCGCTACAATGGGCAGTTGCTTTATTCTTAACGAATTCTGTCGACGTACCCTGTCAATGAAGGATTAATTTAAAATTCAATACGATGAAAATTTTAAGTTGAGACTAACGACAGACATTTTGATGATCGTCGATTGTTTTGAGAATAGAGGATATAATTTAGAGCTGAGCTACGCCCTGATGATTATGAAATTGTCTGCTGTTAACGGATTTTTCGAGAATTCATTCAAACTTGACGATTGTTGGTATGATCATGACGAGATGTTCGAAGAAAAAGCGAAAAACATAATGATGAGACGGTATTGGAGGTTCTACTCACTGATTCGGTTACGACCCGAAAAAGCAAAGCGGCTACTCATATTCGGACTACAACGAGTTCGTGCACTCGAACAAATTTGCGGGTGTTACCCGATAAGCAGAAAGCTGGTGCTGCTGCATCTGCGCAAAAGATTATTGAAGAGATTTTTACAGCGATGGGCTCTGAATCCTTTCATGCAGGTGAGGCACTATAGCGACTGCTGATTTTTTGTTGTGGTATAATCATCGAGTGTCAAATGAAAAAAGATTTATATAATGTTTGCTTGGTGACTAAAGGTTAATCGTGATGTTGATAAACATATTCGTAATATTTTTCAATGTCTGGTGTTTTTATGAACGTGACAGATTTTCTATATCATTCGAATAAATAATTCAAAAAATTTAATTTATTAATTTGCTCCAATAATTTAATAAAAAAAAAACTAAATAAATTGCTTTTGAATCAAAACTGTTAATAATATAGCGGCGCGAGTCAACGAACATTTCAGACATGTCTATGCATATCATTTTTTGAAGTGTTTCGTTCTTGCATTTTGAAAAATAACACAATTAAAGTCGCGATTGCAATTACAACTTTGCGAAAGCAAACAATGCAAAAGCAACGGGCTGGATCGTCAAAAAAATTAAATCGAGAAAATGAAAAAATACTTTGAAAACTTGGTACTAGAAAACTGTAAATACAAAGAATGCAAAACTAAAAAGAGGAGAGAAATTCTTTGGTTTGTAAGAGAATGAGTTAGACAGCAGTAGGGACAAGTCTTCCCTTTCTCGATGCTGGCACAACGAATCTATACTCTTGGTAAACTCGCACGACTGCTTGCCATGAATGAAAGTCGCCATGGGTTTTCTGTGCAAAGAAGAAAGACGAAGAAAAAAGTAAAAAAGTCAAGCAAGGAAGTAGTAGGAGCAGCAGCAGCAGCAGCAGCAACGGCTTCGAGGAACGCTAAACCGAAGAACGCGGAAGTTCTAGCGCACGCAGGCGGCTTCCTTTGCGGAAAACGTCAAGAAAGAAGTCGCTGTGGAACAATCGTCCAGGCATCGCAACGTCTCTTCCGCGGCGCATCTTCAGTGCATCTTTGTTCATATATATGTGCATCTGCAGTTGCGAACGTGCAAATGTTGCGATGTGCGTAAGTTTCTCAGCAAAGCTAAAGGAGAGAGAGAGAGAGAGAGAGAGAGAGAGAGAGAGAGAGAGAAAGAGAGAGAGAGAGATGAAAAGTGACAGTGTACGTGTGCGAAAAGAAAAAGCATGATTTTTTGCCCCCTCTCTAAAACCACATGCTGGAGCTTTCTTCCTTTTATCGCGCTTTTCTTGAGCACGTCAAAATATATGACTTTCCTTTGGCGAGATATATATATTTTCTTCTTTTGTTTGTCATTTGCCATTATGCACCTGAAGTTATCGTGCTGCCAACGACGCTTCGATCTGTACGCTGGCTTTCCTTGCCGAGAGAAAAGTTTTAGAAAGTTTAATCACGTGTCTGACTATCCAAGAGTTTCTACTTACAGGCAGAGTACTTTGTCAAACTTGAGATTTCATGGCTCTGCATTGGGTGGTTCATACGACTTTTATTGAATTCTTTCATTAGCTTATCTACACAGTCAGCTTTGTATTCAAATGTTAATGCTATTAAATTTCTAAGCTCAAGTCATATAACTCTTGAATGTTTAAGTATTGATAATTATAAAGAATAAATATCAGCAAAATAGTGTTGTTGTGTAGTTCTAAAAATTTTCAAAAATCAATCATATCGGCTGAACCAATTGAAGAGTCTTTGATTCGACACTGAAATCTCGGAAAGCTGTAGAAATTATTTCTAATATAATAAATTACTTGAATGAAAAAAGGCTAATAATTTAATAAAAAAAAAAAAAAAAAGAATTCGATTGTGATAATAACTGTCAATTCATTAGAGGAGAAGCGAATATAGAAATGACACATAAAAGCATTAGACCACTTAAATGAGAACTTTGCTTCAAATCATTTGCAAAAAGAAGAAACCTAAAAAATTACATAAATTCAGACGAAATCGGAACAAATTTTTCGAGTGTAATATTTGTCATAAATCATTTGGTCAGAAAGAAAACCTCAAAGCTCACACAATGACGGTACATCTTCGGAGCAAACCTTTTGTGTGTAACATTTTTCACAAATCGTTTAGCCGCAAGAGTGATCTCAATTGGCAGATAAATATATAATATATGTTCGTAGAAAACCCTTCGAATGTGAGATTTGTCACAATAATCATTTGAAAAAAAAATCAGAATGCACTCAAAAAGCACATAGTGAATGTACATAAAGGTAGTAAACCCTAAAAGCTTGAGACTTATTCGAAGACATTTGGACGCAATAAAGACATTTGCAATCAAATGAGATTCGCTACGAAACTTTAGACTATCTTTTACAAAAACATTAAAGCATTTCAAACTATTATTCATTTTGTAGTGAAAAATTGTTGATTCACATTTAAACATAAACTCAAATATCAACATGGTTTCGTTGTCAATTCCTTCTTTGTAATAACTTTGTTGAAATAAACTTTCAACATCCCATTTATCGGCTGAACTTTTTTCCCATGTGCGCAGAAATTCAACAGTTTCAATGGTCAATAAAAAAGCTGTATCTAATTATTTCGCAATAATCGCTAACTTCGATCAATTATACAGGTAATTATACTATCTTGTACCATATCATTTGGATCATTAAACATACTACACATTTTTTGACATAAGACGTGAGAAACAATACTTATCGCACATCCAAAAGTGGTCATTTTACTGGTCGAAAGCAGTCAATCACTGGTATAAGTACGCTAGTGTTTTCCTTGTTAAATTATGATCGAACATAGCAAGCAAGATGCATCATTCACTAAAGAATTGAATAACGTCCATACAAATATATTTTTAATTGCTTTTCATATGATATATTCAAAAATGGTCATTCTCTGGTACCCGGTCATTGATTGGTCTGATTACCCTACATACTTTTTTTTGTTTGATGTCATCATGTTCCAAAATTCTATTAGAGGTCCGAAGTCGGCATTCTTTTGAGATTCATTTTTTAAGATCTTTTTCTTAAAAATGTTTTTAACTTTTTATGAATTATTATGAAACTAATCATGGATACTGGCTTCAAAATAAATAATTAAAGCATTGAAATTAAGAAATTATCAATTATAAGAATATAAAGAAGCACATGGACTGAGAATTAAATTTTCAAATCAAATCGACAAGCACTATTGAAGTGAAATGCCCTTCGAGAGTACAGTGCAAAGCAGTCAACGTAGTACTCCTGCGAGAAACCAAAAAGGTGGTTCAGAACGTAAACTATATTGGCGTGAAAAGTGTCGCATATACTGCTGAGAAACCCTAAGTTCGGAAAATAGCGGCCATTGAGATCTTGTTGCGCATGCAGTATTCTTAGACTAATGAATGGCAGCGCATTGAGAACGATGACATAAAAGTGGTGATCTTTCATCTCTCGCTGTACAATGCGAAAATGAAAGAATGAACGGGAAAGAAAGTGAGAGAAGTGAGAAGAAGTGAAGTAATAAGAAAGTTTGAGAAACGCGCAAGCTTTTTGAGGCAACCACGACGAGAACGCAAAGGAGAGAGCAAAGAAACACACCCCCTCGCCGCATACAGACAAGTAAAAATATACGTTTCGACTTCGAAGTCATAGAAAACCAAACGTTCCTTCTATTGTTTAATTCAAGTACCAAAGTTGGACGGGCTTTAACGTCAAAGAAATTCGCTTATAAATGAGCGAATGTATGTACGCAAGCAAACATTTTTATCGATTTCTTTATATCGTCTGTTACAGGTCTTCATCAAATATCGCAAGATAAATCTGATTTTAACTTGAAAAAACAATAAAAAAAATCTACTAGAATTCAGTTCTGAATTCAGAATACCCAAAAATAGAAGAGAGCGATACTTTAATGATTGTTTTGTTACGTGCAAAATTAAAATCAACGTTTTTGTCATTATGTATGAGGGATCTCACAAAAAAAATTGCAGGCATCTTTAGTTATAGAATAGTGAGCAAGTTTTGTTTTGTATCAATTAAAAAATAAATTTTTATGTAAAACATGTTCAAAGACAGTTTTCATAAGCAATTTTTGAAATTTTATCAAAATATTAGAAACAATTTTTTTTCTAAATCCCTAAAGAATAATAAAATAAAGGTTGTTATCTTATCTTGGTAACCACCTGATACTGCTGGATTCTTCGTTTTGTGTTTGAATTAAATTATTTTTATTTCTGAAATACTCATTGTCTTGCTCTTTAACCTCTTTAAATTAATCAATTTTTTTGTCGTTATTTACTTGGTCAGAGAAAAATTAATTTTCAATAAATGTTACAGGATTCAGGTCTCTTATTGCACTAATCGTTAGATTTATGCGTGTGTATGCAAAGGTACACACGAGATTGAACGATACATAGTAGAGGGCAACATTTTTATCCTTTTCTCTCACCGACATTAGGGTTTTTGTCGGTTCGAGGGTAGCATTTTGCCCCTTCTGCACCCCTCCTCCTCTTCCTGCAGTTTGATAAAGCAAGCGAAACTTGCTCGGCATCGAGAACCGCAAGAACTAAAGTTATTTTAGCGCAAGAGTATACGTATACGTAGAGCTAAGTTCCAGGAGCGAGTGAATGAACCAACACTTGAGAGCAGAGCGCGCGTACGTGTGTGGTTGCGCGCGAACATATACGTATATACCGAAGGGATAGCCCAGGGTGAGAGAGAGAGAGAGAGAGAGAGGCTAAAGAAGAGGGTATGAGTGTGTGCGCGCACGCGAGTGTGTAACTCTGCTGCGGTTTTTCCTGTTAAAACTGACTTAGTCTTCTACGTGTATATACACACACGCACGCAGCTTGCTCGAAAGAGCTTGGACGTAATGAGTGCAAACTAGCGTGGCCACATTTATCATACATTTGATGAGAACATAATAAAAGCAATTCTTTGCTGCTGCCTCTTTCTCGAGGTTTACGCACTGCTACTTTTCTATATACACACTGCTGTTGACTCACTTCGAGCTTGTCACTGCGTGTCTGGTCCGATTTTTTTTTTAAATTATGTCTCTCTCATTATATTATAATTATTTCAGCGTAAAGTTTTACTCGAGTTTTCTATGATTAATTTAAAGTCTTTGTAGGAGCGAAACTATTTTAAAAAATTTCATTCGTCCCGATTATTAATGAAAACCTTTCCTTCGTGTACATTTCAAATGTGCGATACTCGTCTTTTCGAACGTGAATAGGTAAAAAAAAGTATACTTCGCTTAGTTTCTTAGTTGCTGACCCAAACAATTATTACCAGCGGTGTACTTTTACTCATACACATCACAAGTCCGTAATATTTGCGGTTCTCAAAACGAGAATTTAATTAAATAGTCAGTTCAATAATTGAATAAGTTAATTAGACAACTTATTCACAAGTAATAATAGAGTTGAGGGAAAATTTTGCCCCCCCCCCCTTAGATTCATTGATCATCCGTCGCACATATATAATCATAAAGTTTTTTAATACCAAGCCATGAATCAAGAAACTGCGCGCGCGACTTCAGCCATTTAGTGAAATCGAGTGTAAAAAGACCGATCTATCCGAGCTAGAAAGTAAGATAGAAAACGACTTAGTAGTGGCCGAGAGAAAGAGAGCACAAGAGGTGAGACTATAAGAACGCGGCATTAACGAGGGCTTATCAGAAAAGTCTTTCATCTTCATTTGACCAAACGGATAGAAAGTCACGAAACTGAAAAGTTTTTTTGCGGGGGTTTCCCATGAGGAACAGGCGTTCTGCAGTCTCCCGAGGGGAGTCTCTACGCGCGAGAGTTTGAAAATGCAACGATGGACGTACTTTGGCTGTTGGGCAAGTATTGCTGCCCCCGATGCATTTACCATTCGCGACTTGACCATTTATATAAACATATACAAAGGCTCGGAGAGAAACGATAAGTCATTGGCGTGCTTACCTTATGTTTGTCGACGTGTACTGGCCTCAAGTGCGGATCGAAAAGTAATTTGTCCGGCTCGATGTTTATGGGACTTTGTCGTCGACCTTTGCTGCACAAGGACCACTGTGGATTAATTAGGCCCCAAAAGGATGGTCCTGCGAACATAAAACATACGAGTATTTTGAATTACCAACTGCTTTACTCGAACGATAATTATATTAAGATATGTTGGACAAAATTCTTCTAGTAATTTTCGAGTATACAATTAGTATAACATTTACGTTGCGTGATGATTTACTAACTCGCATAAACTAATGTCTCATGAGGCTGGAAACGCGAAAAATGCTACCATATACCTCAGTAGCAGTTGCTATGAATGCCCAGTTAATGACATTATTTCAGTGACAGCGCTCGTGAATAAACACCTTGAGAGTATGATTAAATGTCTTTCGTAGATGTGCAAAGCAGGAAAATCCTAAATTAATGATCCGTCAGTAATGAGCACTAGAATATAGTTGCATAGACGTAGATAGATACATTACGACAAATTACATCTAGTTTCGCGTGACAGACTTTTCGACGTTAACATCGTCATGTACTCATCAGCCTTTCATTATACACACTACCGCATTTTCTAGCCCTTCTGACTTGTTCATACAGATATTAATAAATTACCAGAAGCTCGTGCTTACACATTTGCATTGCACTGTAGCTTCCACTAAGCCTCTTAAGAAAATTCTGCTCTCGACGGAACTTGGTGGCGTGACGAAATGTGTCAGGACAAAAGAATTCCAAGATTAATAATATTGGTTTTGTATGTTGATTATCTTTGTATTGATTTTTGAATAAAATTCATTGTAAAAGTGTTATATGAGCATATAAAAAAATTCTTTAAACTTGAGGTTAAAATCTCGATTGAAATTGCAATGAATTTGCAAAAATGTGAAAACAATACACACTTTGATAGCTATTTCGTCTACAGCTTTTATTGTTTTTAATTGAATTGAATTTGCGTATTCAAATACACTGAGAAAAATACAGTAGAAAAATTCTTGTATCCATAGTAATCGAGAGATAATCTAAAAAAAAATAAGAAATTAATTATCACGATGTACTGTAGTAAAATTTGCTATGACATGGTAATGTATACTAGAATGTCCGTTATTTCCCGAATTGCTCCAATCCTCGCTCTCACCCCTTGAAAGTTCATCATTTGGCTCACAATGAAAGAAAATCACTGTCCGATCGCGATTAATTAACTCTAGATAGTGCCACACGCGTCAGCTTTTTTCCCATTTAAATAACATGGGGAAATTTAAAAAAAATGTAAATTGAAGTTTTAAACCACTTAAAATCGCTAAACCTTGGGATTAGCGATGGTTTTCACTTCCTGGTACACCCATAATGAGTAACCAATACTTACGGGAACCCTCCGAAAAGAATTTTGGATTTTGCACACACAATATACTCAAAAAATGAAGAAAAACAGCATATAAGCGTTGTTTTTCGATATTTTACAACGAAACTGAGCGTAGACTATTATCTTAGATATGTTAACGTCAAAGTTGAGATCAAGACCTTTAATTTGAGGGTAATAAAACCTATCTACGTTCATTAGAACCAAAGTTACAGGCGTTTGAAGTTTCACTGAAAAATCAGGTATCGAATCTCGTCCGGCCGCCCAAACGCGCGACTCGCGACTCGCTGTAATCGCAACTCGTACAAATGACAATGTAATTAAACTAGAAAAATAATTAAAAATATGGTTTTTATGCGTTTTTTTCTCAGCTTTCACGTGGTGTAGTCGGATTTTTTGATAATTTTCGTTTTCGTACGGAAAAATGGACTTGAACATTTATTTCCTATTTTTCCTAGTGAACGTGTAAATTATCGAAAAATCCGACTACACCACGTGAAAGCTGAGAAAAAAACGCATAAAAACCATATTTTTAATTATTTTTCTAGTTTAATTACATTGTCATTTGTACGAGTTGCGATTACAGCGAGTCGCGAGTCGCGCGTTTGGGCGGCCGGACGAGATTCGATACCTGATTTTTCAGTGAAACTTCAAACGCCTGTAACTTTGGTTCTAATGAACGTAGATAGGTTCTATTACCCTCAAATTAAAGGTCTTGATCTCAACTTTGACGTTAACATATCTAAGATAATAGTATTATGGTTCAACCAAAATGTCAGGTGTCAGGTGGCGAAATGAACAAAACGCACTTGAAAGTTAATGATTGATTAATTTTAATTAACAAAGGTAGAAGAATAACAGTGAAAGTAATAAAAGGTTGGTTCGCAGCTTGCTGCCTTATCTCAGAGCGTCTGCCGCTTGCGGCCTTGCTCATCGCTCGCTCGAGCCTATCTCACCGTCGCGTATGCCGTCGGGCCTGAGGCCACCGCGCGTGGCGCCACTGGCGGGCAACGCGTGCAACGCGTACACACACACATACGTGCGAGCTGCGGCTGTGTTATGCGAATCCATAACAATAGTCTATACGCTCAGTTTCGTTGTAAAATATCGAAAAACAACGCTTATATGCTGTTTTTCTTCATTTTTTGAGTATATTGTGTGTGCAAAATCCAAAATTCTTTTCGGAGGGTTCCCGTAAGTATTGGTTACTCATTATGGGTGTACCAGGAAGTGAAAACCGTCGCTAATCCCAAGGTTTAGCGATTTTAAGTGGTTTAAAACTTCAATTTACATTTTTTTTAAATTTCCCCATGTTATTTAAATGGGAAAAAAGCTGACGCGTGTGGCACTATCTAGAGTTAATTAATCGCGATCGGACAGTGATTTTCTTTCATTGTGAGCCAAATGATGAACTTTCAAGGGGTGAGAGCGAGGATTGGAGCAATTCGGGAAATAACGGACAGTCTAATGTATACGAACTATACTATTTTTCAGTGAACTTCGCGCGTCACTTTGTAGGAAAATCGCGTTTTAATTGTCTCATTAATAAACTCTAATTCTTCAATATATATCCGTGAGTAGATATTTCATGTATATGGGTCAAAATAATACTTTTTTACAAAACCGTGCGCACGTATGTCACCGATCTTGACGCGCTTTTGGTATGTTATAGTAGATGGTAAAAAGGTCCCAAAAAAAAATTTTTAGACCCCCTCCCCCCTCCTACCCCCCACTTCCGGTATAAACGTCCATTTTCGATCTATATTTTTTCTGAGGACATGAAGCAAGTAAAAAATCTGAAAAAATTCATAAAAATACTTTTCCACAATCCAAACAACCTTGAATTTTTTCAGATTTTTTGAGTGCTTCAGGCCTTCAGATAAAATCATTGAAAATTTCAAAAATCGAGATACGGCGGTATGAGCCGATGTAGTACTCGGAAATTTTTTCAGTTATTTTTCGCATTAAAAAACATAACCTCAATTTTTTTCAGATTTTTTCAGATTACCTAACGCACCTTTTGAAGCCAAAAACCGATTTTTTTGACGAAAATAATTTTTTTAGGACAGTACGGAGCCTCGAAAAATCTGAAAAAAATTTTTTCTTGTTTTTTTCATCAAAATACGTAATCTCAAATTTTTTCAGATTTTTTAATTGAAGGCGATAGCTTCTAGGGCCGAAAAATGCTATTTTTAACAAAAAATGGTTCCTAGAACCCGATGGTTCCGGTGAAAAAATTTGAAAATATTTTTTTTGAATTCCTTGTCAAATTTTAATAAATTTTGACCGTTTCAAAAGTTCGATTGAAGCTTCCTAGCTCATTTTAGAGCATCAAACGAGTTTTATCATTCCTTAATGTCTTCAGAAACGTCTTCAGATATTTTGCACTAATCTTTGTCCTGCTCTAAAATGAGCTAGGAAGCTTCAATCGAACTTTTGAAACGGTCAAAATTTATTAAAATTTGACAAGGAATTCAAAAAAAATATTTTCAAATTTTTTCACCGGAACCATCGGGTTCTAGGAACCATTTTTTGTTAAAAATAGCATTTTTCGGCCCTAGAAGCTATCGCCTTCAATTAAAAAATCTGAAAAAATTTGAGATTACGTATTTTGATGAAAAAAACAAGAAAAAATTTTTTTCAGATTTTTCGAGGCTCCGTACTGTCCTAAAAAAATTATTTTCGTCAAAAAAATCGGTTTTTGGCTTCAAAAGGTGCGTTAGGTAATCTGAAAAAATCTGAAAAAAATTGAGGTTATGTTTTTTAATGCGAAAAATAACTGAAAAAATTTCCGAGTACTACATCGGCTCATACCGCCGTATCTCGATTTTTGAAATTTTCAATGATTTTATCTGAAGGCCTGAAGCACTCAAAAAATCTGAAAAAATTCAAGGTTGTTTGGATTGTGGAAAAGTATTTTTATGAATTTTTTCAGATTTTTTACTTGCTTCATGTCCTCAGAAAAAATATAGATCGAAAATGGACGTTTATACCGGAAGTGGGGGGTAGGAGGGGGGAGGGGGTCTAAAAATTTTTTTTTGGGACCTTTTTACCATGTACTATAACATACCAAAAGCGCGTCAAGATCGGTGACATACGTGCGCACGGTTTTGTAAAAAAGTATTATTTTGACCCATATTTATATCATTGTATCGTTTAGATAGAAAATTTTCTGAGCTTTCTCATGGTGTAGTCAGATTTTTTAATAATTATTATTTTCATAAGGAAAATCAAAAGTAAATCTCAATGATCACTTTTTCCGCACCGAGTTTTTCGAGATACACGTATTTAGATTGGCACGTTTGATGGCGATTTTCTCGGTGAAAATAGACATTTTCAGAAAATCGGATATCACCATCGGAAAACTGAAGAAATTTCCTATCGAATGCAGTAGTTTATTACTTTTTTTAGTTCGGTTTCGATACTTTTGCAACGGCTTAGAAATTGAGTATGTAGCCGTATTCACGAAAAAAACATGATTTTTTGTTCGCTAAAACACAAAAGTAGCTATAAAAAATGTGACTATCGAAATTTCGACTGTTCCTGTGTTCTTACATGTTCCTGGGACTTCCAAAAACATTCCCCAATGGTCGGTACCCGCGTCAAGTGAAATAAAGCGTTGTCACGATTGCATTTCCGAAATTGCTTTTTTCATAATTTTATGGAGTTACTCATTAGAAATAAAATAATTTGAAAGATTTTTTATTTTATAAATGAAGAATATAATAATTAAAAAAT